GTGGCCAGATCACTTCTGAAAAAGAGCTATATCTCTCAGTGGGCGTTACCTAGTAAACATTTTTTTAATTGTTTAGTTTATCTCTCCGACGTATTTTCTGGGTCGTGCCGTTTGGCTCTTTAGCACGATGTCCGACGTTTTTTGCTCCACGTGCCAGTCACCTTCTTCAGGAACTGAATCAAACGTTGGACATCGTGCCGAACAACACGCGGTGCAAACCAAAAAGCACACCAGCGAGCTGTACGGCACAACCGCCGCCACAACCATTTATTATCGCGAAATGTACCCTGAATGTGGCGGAACTGCTGCGGAAATATTTCCTGGGTCGTCGATCCCAAGAGAAATCGCTCAAACTAAGCCCGAGTTGTTCGATGTATAGCAGCGCGGGCCTTCTGTGTGCATGCGTGCGTCTTCTTGAAACGAGTGACACGCGAGCAGTGACACGCGAGCAGTGTGCCACTCCGATTACCACTGATTGGCAACGTACGGTGCGAAAGAAGTTCAACATATACACGAGCAGTGGCTTAGCGTGATAGCCATTGGGCCCTTTTGCAAGGAATTAATCAGAGGAGGGGGGGGGGGGGATGGGGTCCAATTTCCCCTCTTCCCCCAACCCTTCATAGCCCGAGCTCCTGCTGAGCCCCTTCGGCCCGTGGGCCCCAGTGCAGTGCACCGCCTGCACTCAACGCAGCAGCACATCCAAGGAGGCTGGTGAGCAGTGAGAGAGGGGCTCACTCACTACCCCCAACAGCGGTGCGCGCTGGAGCCGAGCCCGCGTGCAAGGAGTAGATCCCCCACTCGGTCCTCCGCATTGTTCTTGTGTGAGAACGCCGTGGTACTCGCAGTCGCGACGCTGAGCCGTCAGTGAGGCTACCCAGCGGGCGGGAGCAGTGGCTGGAACGTGCAGCTCACGAGTGGCAGGCTACTCGGCCGTTCCTCTCGCTGTTCCGAGGGAGGGGGGGGGGGGGTTGGGGCGGGGGGCGAAGGCCGATTGGTTATTAAATGTGGACGTGGTATTGGTGAACTTTCCCCTGCCATAAAAAAATTGGAATTTCCGCTTGCAGATTCAGGGCTGTAGACGTGAGTTGAGCACCTCTCCTCACGAATTCTATCAAGGAGTTGCTTTTAGACGTTTTCTGACTAAGGTGCAAAAGTGTTTATGCGTCATGTCTGTCCGTCCAATCAGTAACAAATCGCCCTGGTTTGTGTCTCGAAATTCTGGGGAACACTTCTGGGCAATTTGGCCGGTTTTCAATAGGATAAGTCCCTAATAGCAACACCACTCTATACCAAAGTTTAGTTCTGATTGGATCATCTTCGAGACCCCCCCCCCCACCCCCGTTACATGTGGATTGGCGGACAAACAGAAATTCCACAAACGGTCTCGTTTATGTATGTTGAACTTCTTTCACACCACACCTCGTGAACCGTGCTAATCAGAGGTGCCAAACTTGTTCCCCTTTCAGAGATGACTGCAAGTTGCAGGGTGCGTCCCGTTCACCGCTGAATCTCGGAACGTGGAAGCGGTTCAGCGTCAATTTAATTTAGAGAGGCGTAGCGCCGTTGTTTTAAAGACATTGTACTAACCGCAGATAACTGTAGCGACACAACCGCACTCTATGATGGCTGGTGCCAAAACTGTGCCACACGCCCTCCCGTATGACCTTCTGGGAACCTTGGTACCGATAAAGTTATCGTTTGCGGTACGATGACATACGTGTGCGGAATCAGAAGAAAAACGTACGTCATCGGAACGAGAAAAGGTTAACAACGCCCCTGTGCCCAATCTCGAGTGTTCACAGTTGTTGCTGCACCACGTCTGGTCATCCCTCAAACTCATGCGGTCAGCGTGGAAGGATACTTTAAAAGTCCCCTCTGAGAATAGGGAGTCACCGAGTCGCTCCGTAAGCATCTCGTTGAGCATCCTTAAATGTCTGGCTTTGTTGATACAAACTCGGGCATTGTTTGGCGTTTTGTGTTTTGTGTGCCGGGCGTGGTTCCACGTCATGTAATTAAATCGATGTGGCACGATTACATGGTGTCACGAACGTGTTTCGTCAAGGTGTCACTGCACTCAACGTGAACATTTGGGCGGTGCTTCACTGACAGTTCAAAGCTGTTGGGGGAATATTCCACGTTCCTGTGCCAGGGACTAGTTTGTCTGAATGATAACCACCGCTCGCCTCCCACTAAGTAAACTATTAACTATTTTATTTTACCAGGTAAGGCCTACTGAGCTCTATTTCTCTTTTTCAGAAGCGACCTGGCCACAAATGGTAGCTCAACGAAGTGGCTTATCAAGTGGAAATGTATAGCAGTTAAATACTCTAAAGCATGTTGATTCTAAATATGGAAGGAAAAGCCTGAGGACCCGGATAAAAATCCACGCGAACACAGGGAGAACATGCAAACTCCACATATACAGCAGGCGTCAGGGTCGGGATCGAACCCACGACCTCCTGGATACCAGGCAAGAGAGTTAACATCTCGCCACCGAA